GTTCGTCTTCTTCAACACCATGTGGGGAAAAGCAAAGCTATGAAGCTGCGAAGCGGCAAACAACAACATTACGATGTGAAAGACGAAAGGGTGTTCCCCCGAATGAAACCCAAAGCGCTTTTTCAAATCACAATGAACTTTTTAAAAAATTCCCTTTCTTGCAATTTTTAAAAATTGCGCAAAATTTTTCATAAATAAATGGTCACAATCCACCGGGTCATAAGGTCCACTGTTCACCCACGCGTGTGTATAAAATATGTGTTTATATTTATACAGCATAGTGAAGCAGCGCGGCGCAACATGATTAGAGACCTGCTTAGCGATAACCGATTCAGCTATGCATGTTATTTGTTCGAGTGAAAATTTTGATCTCCTTTGCTACTTTCGCGCATGTTTGTTTATCTATTCCATATACACAATGGCATTTAATTTTTAATCGTGCGCGTGTACGTACGTATGTAGGAGTTGCCATGCCGCTATCTACACTCGCAGGATTGGTGCGTAAAATGAGAACATACACCAGTTGGCTAACACATGTATATCCGCGCACACGCGGGTAAATTCGAGTACGTATGCCGTGAAAAGGTCCAGCAGTTCACTAGCCATTGTGGGAATTTTACATATAAATTGTGTACAATGAGTGAAAATAGCGGCACGTAAAAAAAGAAAAAAAACTCAACACTCATTTTCTCCTTTCCCCAGTTACTACCACGAATTAGTTATTTTTCATATCCACGTCCATTAAGAAGTTTTGCGAAAATTGTACTGCAAAATTGACCTTTATTTAAGTGACCATTTTAAAAGTGGACATATCGACACACGCGCATATGCATGCCATGTCAGGCGCAAAATAGAAGCCGTAAGTGCGCGGTAAGGATTAGCAAAAAAAAATTATAAGGGATAATTTTGATTCTTTTTCTTATTTCAAAACGATAGTAGCAGTACACTGTGCTACCAAGCAAAAAATTGGGAAAAAAAAAAAAGAAAAAAGGATAAAAGCATAATGTACGTTTTCTGCATGTACTCAAAGAACTGTGCTGATTTTATATGCGCGAAACACACGTCGCATGGCCAAAATTGCAGGGGCTAATATTTCCACTTTAGCAGCAACATCGTGCTATGTAAACACACACATGAACAACATTAGCACTTTTGAAAAGCCTCGCAAACATAAATGTGCCCATTTTATCAATTATGAGAAAAGCAAAGAAGTAGGTATAACCCTTCTTTTTCACCCTACTCCGATAGGAGTCTATCGCTTGGTTGAACAATATAGACGAATTTTTACAACCCCCTCCTCTCCACATTTGGGGAATTAATTACTTGCCATTCTTTAAGAAAGGTGTTATTTTTTTCTCCTCCTCAGTTATTCCACTTGTCAAACTGGTCCAATGCGGAACGATGCTTTTTACAAATTTTCCTTCATATAAAAAGTTTAAAATGGCCTTCTTTTATCCCTTTACCTTTTTATACACTTGAAGTAGCATCGCTCTTGTTCAAGTTGCATTTATGTGGCTCAGCACTGCGACAACGTTTTCCCATGCGTAACTGTAATGGTAGTTGCCAATTCAACTATCCGTTCAGGAAGTTTTTTTTTTTTTCTTTTTTAACCAAATAATAGTTCGCTAGCATAGCTGTTTGCCTATTTTTTTTTTTTTTTCATAAACGCCGCATGGGTCATGTAGTTTTTTCCCCCCTTTATTTCATTCGTATCTCCACGTTTGGAAGCATTTTGGCTTCATTTTTTTTCATCCCATTTTTGGGAAAATGCAAAAGGGGAGAACAGCCTGATGTGTTGCTAATTCTTTTGTTTCTCACGTGCCCGTCCCATGCTCCTACTTAATCATTTTCGCTTCTATGAAGCGCTTCATCGTTAACATGTAGAGAAAAACAAATTGGGCAATCAAAACGCTGCAAGATGGTTAATATGTGTGAAAAGAAAGGTACATGATAACTACACCCAAGAGGTATCTCAAAACGATGGAAAAAATGAAAAAAAAAGGAATAAGATGACCCCCTCCAAATATAGGACAGAAAACAAGCTGGCAATAGCAAGGTATGGGGGGAGAGACTACCTACCATACTTGTGTGCATGTGCACCACGTACGTTTATCCGTTTTGTTTTCAAAGATGTGCGGAACTATTATACACAATTTATGAACACAAGGCAATAAATAATGATTAAGAGGGCAAACTGCGTGGTGATACATATCAGAAATGGGGGTACAATTTCAAAGAATAGTGAATATAAAAACACAATTGTGAAGGCCTTAATCGCAAAGGTTACCAAAATTAAGGAGAACAATAAATTTTTTAACTGCAACGGGTATTACGATTTTTTATTTCGTAACTACGCTCTGCATATTTGCTTGGACGATGCTTTCAAGCTGTTTTATTTGCAAAATAAAGACGGCTACTTTAGCAAGAAATTGATGAGACACGTATGCTGCATAATCAACAATGCGTCCATTTATAGCATACTAAAATTTCGAAAGGAATACATCATAAATCACCTTTCCGAGTGTAACATTTATAAATACAAATGCGTTTTCCAAAGTGAGTACTTTCATTTTGTTCACAACCTTCTGCTGCTATGCTGTTTACAGTTATGCGTGCCTTCCATTTTGGAAAAGATCGATCAGGAAGAACTGCACAAAATAAGGTTAAAAAATTTGCACAAATTTTGTGATGCCATGAATTATGTAACACCACAAGGCTGGAAAAGTGAAAGGAACAAAGACCCACTATGTGATGTGCAATTTTTGTCAAAGGTGTACAGCTCCTTCTGTGCCAATCATATAAATCCGTTCCCGTTTGTGAACAAATTTATATACCAACATTTGTGCGCAAATTATTTGGAATTCCATTTGGAGAGGCATGCCTTCACTTTCCTACGTGCAGAAGCCCATGAGCGGTCTCCCACCACCTTACACTCACAACGGCATAAAAGTGAAAACCCTTTACCCATATGTCAAATTAGCAAGATGCTGTTTTATCTGTCGAAGAGTGACTTGCATTTTTACTATGAATGTTTTATAAATAGATACTTTTACGTCATACGAAGGTATCTGCTTCCCTTGACTGATGCCCCAGTAGAGGAAGATTCACTCCTGACGCATGCCAATAATGACACTGACATTTCTGACAGGGAAGAAAAAATAATAGATAGGCTATTAGTAAGCCTAGTGAACTTCTTATCCTCTTCGTATGTAATGGAAAATATTGAGGGGAAGATTTCTCACATCATTCTATGTACATACATCACGTTGGCGCTATTCAAAAGGTTATATAGGAACCACTTGGCCCATTTTAACTGGTCCAGTTATGATGCACCCAAGAAGGGAAATGTAAAAAAGGGTCACTTCATTTTGCTAACGCAGAGGAGTAAGTCTCACTTACTCAGTGTGTCCTTCGCGAAAAAGTGCTTCCTACTGATATATGTTATGAACGACCTTGTCCAGAAATTGCCTGGACGAGTCATACAAAATTGGAATAAATGCAGCGGAGAAATGAACATCACGAATAAAATATGTAACACCAATCATTCACTTCAACAATGCATGGGGGTCATAATGCCTAAGCGTAACTCCAGCCGATGCAACAATGCTACAGATTGTCCATCCAGAGGAGGGCTCCCCAAAAATATAGACAAATGTACAAAAAGAAGTGTAGACAGCTTCGAAGAATTATTTCCAAACAGGAACTTTAATTTTATCAGTTTTGTGAATCTGCCCTTTTTGAAAGTGCTGCATTTTTACTCGTTACTTCACCAACATAGTAACAACAATAACGCAAATGGGAACTGCAAAAAATCTCTGCTAGAGAGGGAAATTTTTTTCTTTTTACAACAGTACATAAGAAGGCACTTCCCTCAATGGGAATGCACAAGCAGTGGAAGATTCCCCATGGCGTTTTTTACCATCGATATAGAAATACAAAAGAGGGAACAGCGAGGATGAGGTTTATACAGGTGAACTAATTGATGTCCTCCTTTTTATTCTTTCCTAGTACACTTTCTTTTGAGTTGCCTTTTGAGAAAATTGTCATTTTCTTCCCATATTAGGATACTCTGGGGGAGGTCTTCCCTTACAAAGTTGTATTTTGGGGTACAATGAACATGGCTGTATGGACAGCGTGGCTTTTTTTTGTAACTCCATTAGTTGCGCATACGCATGTACTCATATACGATGGAACCATTTTTTTTTTTCCATCGCTTTTAGCTTTTAACTCATTTTTACGTCATCTCAAGAACAGACGGAACGCACCTTCACTCTCAGTTGCAATTTAGAAGTGGACTGATTGGGTGTCCCCCTTTTGTTGTCTGAGTGGATAAATAAGACAAAGGAGAAAATATTTTTTTTTTCTCTCTCCTACATTATGGGAGAATTTTTGCCAAAATGTAGCATATCAGCGTCGAGCCGGTGGAGAAAAAATTGTGAACTCTTTGACACGTTTGTTTTTCTTCACCCATGGGGATTTAAATGCGGTTCAGCAATGGG